TATTTTGATATTTGATTAAATATAAAAAATAATAAATAATTAAAATATACATTGAAATTATAAAAATACCATTAAAATAAAAAATTATTCCTGAAATCAAGTGAAGTTTTTGGTTTTTTATAATGATTTTTTGTAATTACAAAGTCAACACCGAAGCAATTTTATATTTGAATAAATAAAATATCAAAAAATAAATATGTCGGAGACGCCCTCATCTTTTAGAGGGAAATGTGACACCCTTGGTATTCAAAAATATCTTTTCACCTTGTTGTGAAAGTGTCATTATATTTTCTTCATGTTAGTGTGGTGTGTGTCACTAGTGGTGATCTGGTTTATTATCGATGAACCTTTTTTTTTTTCATTTTTTTTCTTTGAATTATAACTTGACTCTTTTTGTTGTTGGTATTTTAATTTTAGTTTTTTAATTTTTTATCTTGGTCTTTTATAAAAGTTTTATTTGTTTTCAATTTTACCATTCAATTCTAAGTCACCAAATATTATATTCTTTAATTTGATCTTTATTCTTTTGATCTCTAATTTTTTTCTTAGTTTTTTTTTGTAAATTTTATTGATTTTTAAATTCATCCTTCAAATCAAATTGATGATATTACACCTTTTAATTTGATCTTTATTGTTTTGATGTTTAATTTTTCTCTTGACTCTTTTATAAAATCTATTATTCTTTTCAATCAGAACATTATATATTTTTATTTTTCATGTCAATTTTGATTCTTATTATTTTAAATTTTATTTATGTTAAATTAATTTTTTTTTCAACTTCACCCTTAAAAAAAATTAATTTTTTTTTTAATTTTGATCATTATTATTTTAATTAATATTTTTTAAAATTATTTTATATAATTTAGATTTTATTTTTAATTTTATCTTTTAATATTTCATTGATTGAGAGTTGAATTTGATGGTTTTTCTAAATTAGGTGTTTCTAGTTTAAGGACTCAAATTACATGTTTGAAAAATTAACATGATTTTAAAAAATAAAATTTAAAATCCTCTTTATTTTTTTTTAACAGGTCATTTAAATATTATAATTTAGACCGTAAATTTAGCAGGATATCCAAGATTATCTGACTCCTAATTACCGAATTACAAGTTTGTAATAACCGGTTTTTTATGTTATTTTTTTACTCCGTATCAACACCTAAATATTAATTTTTATAATAAAATAATTCAATCCTACGGAAGCACAAACAAGAAGACTAGTTCTTATCTAACCATCCACACTTGCATACAACAAATTCATTCACCATTTGAAACGGAACACCGAAGAGTTTTCGAGGCTGGGGCCAAAAAATGGGCTGGTTCTGCAAAGAAGTTTCACTGGTTTGGATTTTTAGTCTATGACAGCCTCTCTAATTAGTAGTCGACGAGGATGTTTGGAAATTATATTTTTTTTTATATATTTTTATATGTTAGTATTAAAAATAAATTTTAATAATTAAAAAATTATTATTTCACTGTATTTTTGAAAAAAGTAAATTTCACACTAACTGCAAAAAGAAAATTCCCCAACAGGGAGGTGAAAAAAACTTAAGAAAAGGCTAATGAACCTCAAAGAAGGTTGATTTGATGGGCATTGAAAATTCTTGTATTCCTAGATACATATTACTATTCCCCACAATAATATAACTGCCATTTTGTCATTTCAACCAAAAAACCACTAAACCTATTACTAGGAGCAATATATTTTTTTTTAATATGTAGTATAAAAACTATTCTTAAAAATAATTTTTTTAAAAGAATTAATAGAGAACAATTTTTTTATTTTAATCTTTTGTATGTATAATGTAAATACTATATTACCATTATAAGCAAATTTTATTAAAAGATTAATAAGAGAAAATTTGATCTTTTTTACATTTTAAAAGCATAGTGTAAATATTATATTATTTTTAAAAGCAAGATTTGTCATGAGCTTTTTAGTTATTAACAAGTTGATTAGAGTTGATTTGGTATTTTAACAAATATAAATATTATTTTAAAAGGAAGTTGTTGGAATTTTGTATGCATATGCTAGCGAGAGAGAAACGTTTATGTCATTTGGATAATGCATGTGATTTTATTGCACATTAAAACACTATTTTTTAGGGTGGTGTTAAAAATGTCTTACCATGATCTTTTAATTCGTGCTGCATGTATACAAATGGAGGACTAGTTAGGTTTTAATAAACTTTTCTCTTCTTCTTCATCTTTCCTCTTTTTCTCCTTGTGAAAATATAAATGTTTTTTTTATTTTTTTATTTAATTTAATTCTTATTATTTTATTTTATTGATTGCTATTTATTTTTTTAATCTTTTTTTCATAGAATGTTTTCTCTAATTCCATTCCTCATCATTTGATTTCATTTACTTTTTATATCAAATCTGATTTTTATTTATTTGACTGTTGTTTATTTTTAGTTTCATCTCTTGACATTTGATGTCAAATTGTTTTTATATCAAGTTTAATCTTATTTTTTTTTATTGCTATTTCTTTGTTTTAAGACTTTTTTTATTATATTTTTTTTTAATTTATTCCTCAATATTTTATTGATTTAGAATTTTGTTGTGTTATTTTTCATGATTTCTCTTTTATGGAGTTGATCTCAAGCTCATCACCAAGGTCATTTAACATAAGTGGACTTTTGCGGTTTTTTGATTATTTTTTAAAATTAATTTGTTTTTCAATTTTTTCTTTTTAATATCTAATTTATTGAGAATTGGTTTTTGTAATTTTTGTTTTCACTTTTCTTTTTGTAAGTTTATCCTATTCTTAAGCCCAGGGAGCAGTAAGCTTAGGACGACTTGGGTTTTTTTCTTATTGTTTTTTTTTTTAGTTTTTTTTTTAATTTCGAGTTGTTTGATAATTAAATTTTGTAGTTTTATTCATTATTATTTCAATGAGCTTCATATTTGTTTTTTACATTGTCAATTATTTTTATTAGTTCATTTATGGTTGTTGCATTTTTTTATTGATATTATTTAAATTAATTGAGCTTATTAAAACTAGTCAAATCAATGACTTATATCTCATATTTATTTTTATTTTTTTTAGGAAAACCCGCATCACCTTAACATCTTTTTTTTTTGTTGGAAAAAACTAAGTCAATTATTTTTATTTCTTAAAGCCTTATTTAAAGATTTTAAAAATAAAAATAAAAACCAAAACCAAAATACCTAAAGTTTTCCAAAATTTTGAGGTGTTTTGCAACTTGGAGGTTGGGATGGAATAAAATAAAAAATAACTAATTTATTTTTCAAAAAACTACTATAGTGTTTTTATATTTTTATTGTGCTTTGAAAAATTATATTTTATATTCTTAATTTTATACGCGCAATACCACTTAAAATCCTTAAAAAAAAAGATATTTGATTGATTTTTTTACATAGCCATCATTTTTCATTTAATTTTTCAAGAGCCCTTATATCACATATTACAACTTTGCCATTACATTAGAAAAAAGAAAAACTCTAGCTACTACCACTCTAAACTTTCTCTTCCCTTTTCTAGATCCCTGACCCTAAATCTTTAAGATTTGCATGAGATGTTTTCAACCCTTTTATGAGTATGCTTGCTACTGCCTCTTGCTCCCGTGATGAGTAGATTAACTGCAAATTCATTAAGATTCTGGAATAAAAACTTGGTTCTCTAGAAAACCTTGAGTTGGCAAATTGCAGACTGTAGAGGAATGGCAAACAGTCATGAAGAAGAATTTCAATGCATCCGTAAGAGCTTCCTCCGCTTCCTCCCATGTTTCCAAGACTCCTAGGTATATTACAGACATCAGGAGGCACAAATTTATTTGCATTTTTTTTCTAAATTATTTCCCTTTTACATCAGCACAAAGTGCATGATAAAAGAAAAGGTGATTGGTTTGCAAAAGATTCAAGATCATACTGTAGATAGTTGACATTTGACTTGCCTCGTATTTATATACCTGTTCTCTGTAAATTATGACTTGTATTTATATTTGTTCTCAGAATTATTTCTTACATTTATATAATTTGATATGTTGAGATTGTTTGCTATTTAGATTTATACAAAGTAAAATAATAAAAAATAATCTATAATAAAAACACTTTTTTATAAGCTCGATAAAGAAAACATCTAAAACCTAACTATCCCTGGCTATAAACAATTGTTAACATTATAAAGATTGAGAAAAAAACATTAATGACTATCTACATTGCAACTAAATTGTCGTGCATCAAGAAAACAACAAAATCATTCCATTCCTCTAAGCAAAAACAAAAGGTTTTTATTAGAAAAAAAATGAACCAATCCTACCTCAAAAAACAGATTGACACATTTCTTACTATTAATTCATACAATGTTTATATTTTTTAAAATGTAATAAAATGAGTTGGGCTTTCAATTCTATTTCTTACTATTCTTTTAAGTAAACTTACATGGCATATTTTTTAAGAAAAATATAACGAAATATAGATCTGTTGGTATATATACAATTTACACGCAGCCTAAAATTGCGTGTTCTTTCCAAGTAATCAATCCATTTCAAGCTTCATGAGCATGGCTGACAAGTCGTTTTTGAAAGAAATAATTGTAGATTTTTTATCAAAACTATCTCTCTTTCAAGAAGGGAATATCCACTTGGCATGGGAATTTGACGCCCGAAAACGCCCGCGTAGCCGCTGATATAACCACCATTTGGATAAGAGAGAGAGAGAGACAGAGACAGAGACAGAGACAGAGAAAGTACTTCTGAGTTCTGCTTCTTTAGAGAGAGAGAGAGAGAGAGAGAGAGAGGGAAAGAATTTCGGGTCAGGTTTTTTTCTTTATTCATTTCTTCTCAGTGGTGGTACCATTTACTTTTTTATATATAAACTTCAAGGGAAGTGGATAAAGTTGTGGAATTACTAGAATGCTCTTGACGATTTGGAGAATTTACTGCTTCTTGGCGTTGGTCCCTGTTTTCGAGTAAATAGCAAAAATGCCATTGTCGTACCAAAAGGGGAGCGAGGGAGGAAAGAGTTTACCTTCCCATTGATCCCGGTGTTGTGCTCCTTGACATTGCCTTTGTTCCTGATGACCCGAACCATGGTAAGTAAGTTCGTCAACAGAAATTTTTCACTACTCTTGCTGTATACACAATGTCTCTGACATTGCATAACATCCCTTTTTTTCGTTTCCCTCCTATTATAATTATTACCTTTTGTGGATATTGGCGAGAGGGAGGGGTGGTGTGTGTGTAGATATATAGATTAGATGAATGCTTTGAAGATTTTGGCCTGAACTTCATTTGGTATTAGCTGGGTTAATTACGCTTATGTAGAATCATTTTGGTTGAATTAACTTATTTTTGTTGGTACTTGAGAACTTGAAGGCTGGTTCTTTGGTTTTGTAGGTTTCTTGTTGGGGACAAGGCAGACAATCATGGAAACTAAAGATGGTGGAAATACTTGGGTCCAGCGGTCAATACCTTCGGCAGAAGACGAGGATTTTAACTATAGGTTTAATTCTATTAGTTTTAAGGGGAAGGAAGGATGGATTGTTGGAAAGCCTGCAATTCTGCTGTACACTGCAGATTCCGGAGAAACATGGGAGAGAATACCACTAAGTGCTCAACTCCCTGGTGATATGGTAAGCTTGTACTTGCAGTAGTGAGTATCATTTAGTGATGTTTTAGTGGCTGGGATTTGTAGCACTTCTGTTAATTCTCAAGGGATATGAAAGACAAGAGAATCGTTTCATGAAGGAACTTGAATTTTGCAGATATTTTACCCCCTTTTTAGTTGTTCCGTGTGGGTATGGATAGGGAAAAGTTGTTGATTCCCTTCCAACATTTTGCAGGTCTATATAAAGGCAACTGGAGAAAAGAGTGCGGAGATGGTAACAGACGAAGGTGCAATATATGTCACATCAAATAGGGGTTATAACTGGAGGGCTGCAGTTCAGGAGTCTGTTTCGGCAACTCTTAACAGGTTGGTTTGCTTGAGATAAAAAGTTAATCTAAATAGTGCTATATAGAGTCTGTGGAGTATTTTCTTTGCTGTAGGAAACATTTGGATTTGTAGATAAAGCAGTTCAATTCTGAAAATGTGATCTAGCAAAGGATATCTTTCTATCTTATGGGCCATCTTCCTTTTGTTTGAGATGGTTACACAACCACTTTGCATCCTCTCTTAAAAGCTTAGAGCTCTATTCACTACGGAGTCAAGATCCTCGGAATTCTTTTAGATCACAAGTTTTTAATTTCAAGCGGGCAAGATATTCACATAGCTTCTTGCTTTTGCAGAACAGTTTCTAGCGGTATTAGTGGTGCAAGTTACTATACAGGGACTTTTAATACTGTGAATCGCTCTCCAAATGGAAACTATGTTGCCGTCTCAAGCCGTGGTAACTTCTATCTGACGTGGGAGCCTGGTCAGGTCATGCTCATTTTCTTGTTGCTGTCTAGATTTTTGCATGCGTACATCTGTAACTTATTAATTGGCTTCATGAGGCATGCCCGCTCTTCAACCTTTTTAGTGTTTGCTTGTGTAGAGATATGCATAAGTGCTAACAGGCATGTACACTTTATTAACTGCTATTCATTACTTTCCATATTTTCAGGCATTCTGGCAGCCGCATAACAGAGCAATTGCAAGAAGAATTCAAAACATGGGATGGAGGGCGGATGGTGGGCTCTGGCTTCTTGTTCGTGGAGGGGGGCTTTATCTTAGCAAAGGCACTGGGGTAAGTTGATAAGAAGAATGTGAAGAAACTATTATTCTGTGCATGTGATGATCCTGAATCAGTGAATTGGTTGCATAATGCTAAGATGGAAAATTTATATCAACATTAGTTGTTGCACCCTTCCAAACTAGTATATCAACAGTGACTTGACATCCCACTAGATGAAGTCCTTATTAGTCGAGAAAAACCTCTGTGAATGTGAACTAAGGAAGACTTGATGCTTTCAATGGATTTGCTTGATATAGTTTGACTTTTAAATACACATAAAATTCTAGACAAACAAAGCATCATCTGGACATGTATATGATTATCACAGGGATTATAACAAGTGAATGTCTCATAATCACTGGTCTTTTTATTTTCACCTATTTTTATTGCATTGCAGTCTACTTTAATTATTTGTTTATTTATGTCCTTATAGTGTTTCCAGTTGTATAATCTGTGTTTTCTCTTTTCATGTCATATCTTTCTCGATGTAGATTACTGTCAGTTTACAAGCATTGGTTAATTTGTTATAGAATAGGACCAGATTTTTTTTCTGTATTGGTGTTGAAGTTCAGCTACTTTTTGATGTTTCAGATATCAGAGGAGTTTGAAGAAATTCCAGTGCAAAGTAGGGGGTTTGGCATTCTTGATGTAGGGTACCGTTCAAAGGTAACAGTTTTCTGATTAATGCAAGGGTATAACCGCAACAGAATTAGTTCCATTACGATGATGTGTTGATAAATGGCTTCACTTCAAGAACTTCTGCATTGTAACATGTGTCGCTCAACAAAACCATGCTTGTCCTATGTGTCATGAATATGCATCCATCTGCATTTACTGACAAGTGATTTGTGTCTTGCATATGCAACTTTGTTCCACTGTCAAGTTTTTCTATGGGTCTCTCAACTTTCCAAGTTTCTACATTCATGATGTAAATGGTGTCTTTGTGCAGGAAGAGGCTTGGGCAGCAGGGGGCAGTGGGGTTCTATTGAGAACTACCAATGGTGGCAAGACATGGACCCGTGACAAAGCAGCTGATAATATTGCTGCAAATCTTTACTCGGTGAAGTGAGTCTCATTATATTAACAGCTAGCATAGATAATATCCAACATTGATTAGCAGGTTTCCAAATGCAATGTATATGTCTTCTTGTGGTCTTGGATTGCACCCCAACACCTTTCATATTTCATTTTTCACTCTGATTTGAAATGCACCTTCTTGTTGAGGAAGAAAATGAACTTTACTGGCCAATGCTTTTACCTGTTTAACTTTGCACTCAGAGGCAGTCAACTCATAAACTATTCGTACCTATGATCTTTTCTTCTGCAGGTTTATCGATGACAAGAAAGGATTTGTTCTGGGAAATGATGGAGTCCTGCTTCGGTATCTTGGATAAAGAAATTGCTGTCTCATGGTAACTGAATGGATTCTCCCATTTCATTTACTTTAATAGTTTTATTGAGGGCGTGTAAAATGAACATGTAAATTTGTGTAGGCTTCCACATATTTGATGGAAATTTTTGGCCATGCAAAGATCTAGGAGAAATGCTTTCTGAATGGCAGGATCGAATTCCTGAATTCCTCTGTGTGCAGGTTTCTCAATGATGCTGCGATTTTGTACGCATAAAGCACTCCATGTTGTGAAGAGAGGAACAAAGTTTCATATTGCATGTATTTTTTCATGCAACTATAATATGTGAATGGCTGCTACATTTCATTACATGTGGTGGTGTTCTTTAAAGTAAAGTTTGCGCAAAGACAATAGGATATCGTTGGACAGATTTGGATTTGATTCAGAGAAGGATTCAGATTTGTTCGCTCGACTCATACTTGTCCTGGCTAATTGTGAGGCTGGAAGCCCTTAACCTGAATAACATATCAATGGTGTCTACTACTGTCAATTGTGAGGGTGACTTAACAGAAGCTAGCTAAAAAATATACTGAGTCTGCATATAAAGAGCCCCTGATAAAAGTCCAGTTTAAGTGGGGATTCTGAAATATCTCTAACTCGCTGCATCACTTAGTGTTTAGGAAATGCTAAGCATGTGGTAGAGTTACCAAAGCAAGCCTAATGGCTATGGTTAATGAGATATTCTTATTCTCATTCTCATTCCCTGCAACACCGTAATTATCAAATCCGGTCCGGAGATTGATCCGGCTAAAAAACTAGATCCTAGGTTTTATAAATCAACTCCAGTTAATTTTAAAGAATTAAAAAAAATTAAAAATTTCATATTTCATATAAAAAATTAAAATAAAAAATCAATGTAAATATAAGCTACATATATTGTAAATAATAAAGTTTTAAAAAATATTTCAAAAGGTATTTTATTCCATATTAAAAAAATATTATATTATATTTTTAAGTTGAAGTATTTAAACTATTTGTTTTAATCTCACATTAAAAAAATATAACTTTTATATATATATATATATATATATAAGTATTTCAAATCTTATTTTAAAAAGATATTATATTATTCTTTTAAGTTGAAGACTTAAACAAAATTTTTTTATTCTACATTAAAAAATATAACTTTTTTACATTGCAAGTGTGAAAAAACTCTTTTGTTTTAGTTTATTTCTTATTATTATATGTTGTAAAATAAACGCTATGCATTTATAATCTTTTTGAATAAAAAACTAAAATAATTATTTTAATGGATTGAAATAAAAACCCTGCAATGTAGCTTAGACAATTAATCAAGTTATTGACTCTAATTCTACATAATGGATTGGGGGTATAAAAAAAGAAAATATATACACTTATTATATATATTTATTTATATTGCTTTAGACATGAATAATTAAATAAATTGTTTACTTACTAATAACAAAGTGTTAACAAGTTAGTTGCAAATATTAAATCTCGAGCTCCTTGACTTACATTACTGTCTTTTCACTCCCCCATACTCTTTCTTCACTCCCCTTTCTCTCTCTCTCTCTCTCTTTCTAAAAGTAAAAAAAATAAAAAATAATTTAGAGCTAAATGAGAGAATTCATCTGTTTTTGAAAAAAAATTTATGAGAAAAAAATGATTTGATTTGATTTGACTGATCGAATCAGGACCATCAGATCCCACCTTCACCGACAATCGCCATGTCCTCAGCAACCACTGCTCGATCCCTTCCTCTCCTCACCTGCATTTCCCTCCTTCTCCTTTCTCCCGCTCTTGCCTTCAATGCAGATCACAGGGTAAACAAAAGATTTGATAACTCAAATTTTATTTGCTCTGTTCTGTTTTGTTTTGACTCAGGTGTACTCCCCTGAGTCAATCATAACTCATAGATGTTGTTATTTAGGTTTTATGTGTTTTATTCCCGAGTTTGACTCAGATCTGTTAATTTTTACATCGTTGTTGTGTGAAAGATGCTTAGATTATTGAATTATTGAAAAATTGGATGTGATTATGACCTTATCTTTTTTGAATTATATTTTAGAGAATTATCTGGTTGGTTTTTCATTAGGAAACAATTTTTGTAACTTATTTAGATTGGATACCTAAAAACATTAATATAACAATGGATTTAAATGTTAGGTTGATTAGTGTTCATGGATCAAGTTTTGATTTTGCAAACAACAATTTATGCATTACAAACACCAGATCTTATTTGGGTTGCTCGGGTCATGGGTCGACCTGTCGGGTTGATTGGGTCTTACCGGTTTTTTACATTTACTAGTTTTTCTCCTAACTAGGACCAATTTATTCACCAAGTCAACCGGTTCCCGACTCAACCGGCTAGGCCGGTTCAGGTTTAATAACTATGTGCAAAACTAGAACTTGAGTTTCTTTGAAAATTAGAGAAAGTTGTCATATCTTAAGTAGACAATACGAAGTTGCAGTTAGATGTATAAAACTTCAATGATAAAATTCAATTATATGCAACATAATTTTCACCTAGAGAGAGAAAAGTGTCATTAAATTAATTTTTATTTAAAAAATATTAAATTAATATTTTTTAAGATCTTTTTAATAGTTTTAATGTATCAATGTGAAAAAAAATATATAAAAAAAATATTATTTAAATATATTTTTTATTAAAAAATATTTTTAAAACACATTACATTATATAAACATGATTAACAGGCCTATAGTTGACCCGTTAGAGATTGCTCCCACTTGAGTTGCCTTCTCCCACATATCTAAGTTAGCCCATCACTATTCAACCTTCTAGTTTGCTCTATCCTTTAGCCCAACTTGTACTTGCAAAAATTTCTGGCCTTCCCTTATTTCACTCTAAAGTAGCAAGCTTTCTCCCCTCTCAAGTCTCAAATAAAAACTAGTAATCTTGACGAAGAGGAAAAAAGAAAAAAACAAATGAGCTTGAGAAATCTAAATGAATGGACTGTTATTGTCAAAGAAGCGTTCAATGGATCCTTCTTAGTAACCAAAGCTTTTTGCTTTGTCCATGTCACCAAAACCTATGTCTTCACTGTTGCTTCTATAAGTATAAATAAGCATAAAGTAATGCTTTTTATCTGTTTCTTTAAGTATTTAAGCATTGACGGGGGTGTTGCAACTCAATGGACCAAGTATGCTCCCCATCTTTAGCATTAGTGGTGATTTGGCATTGGTTGAGAAGATTTCACACAGGCTTGGCAAAATAGATTTTGGAGATATTGTTCTTGTTACATCACCCGCGGAGCCAAAAAAAATTATGACTAAAAGAGTTATAGGTGTTGAGGGTGATTCTGTTACTTATGTTATTGATCCCAAAAACAGTGATAGAACTGAGACTATTGTGGTATGTGTTTTTTTTTTTTGGTTGGGTTTTAAAGATTTTGCCTTTAGTGTTGTTAAAGCTAAACGTGATGTCTCTTTGTTAATGGTTTTTCAGTGATTTTGCTTTGTTTTGTTGATTCTGATGCTTTTCTTAATGGGTTTTAGTGGGTATGGTTTGGTTATGTAATTGTTGATTTTTTGCTTGATGGATTTATGGATTATTGCTATTTTGCTTTAAAGATTGTTGATCATTAACTTAGGAAATGAAAAGGTTTGCTCTTTTTGTTTAGGTGCTTAAGGGCCATATTTGGGTAGAGGGAGATAACATATATAAAAGCAAGGATTCAACAAACTTTGGGGCAGTTTCTTATGGCCTTCTTCAAGGGAAAATGTTTTGGAAGGTAAGCCTATTTTCTACCTTGGCCTACTTTGTTGGGTTTTGAGAGTTTTTTTTTTTTACGTTTCATAGAGCACATTATTCTGGTTTTTCTATGAAGAATATGTGGGCTATTAATAGTAATGTTCGCATCATGTTAAAAATAATTATTTTGATATAGCTGGCATCAGTCGAGGGCAACTGAGATTTTTTGGTCAACACTATTCGAGGAATTTTGAGCTGTAAGATTAAAACTGTGCAAAATAAAACTTTAATAATGGTTGAGTGGAGCATGCTTTATAAGAGGTTAAGACCTAGGAAGTGACCATTTATCTCTTGTTTTATAAGGCATTGGAATAGACTGAAAATGATCTTGTATGTTGCTCTAATGCACAAAATGTCCATGAGTTTGCAGGTTGGTTAACTAGACCTGGTAGGTGTAGGAAATTCTATCAAGTAATATGAACTAATATTATTGTAAAGAATGTTGGTAGCAAACCAAAAACATGTCTTACCATGGAAAAGTGATGGGGAATAAGGGACGCCATCTAAGATAAGGTAGCATCTACTTGGGATTGACATGGCAGCCCAAGCAATAGGTATAAGCTTAGTGAGTGTTTGTTTTTGCATTACAACCTACTTTTCAAATTGTTTTTTGATTGAAAAAGTATGTTTTTTAGGTGTTTATGGATGATTTTGTAGTGCTGATATAAAAAATAAAAAAAATCTAAAAACAATTATTTTGATATTAATTAAAAGGCTTTTAAAAAGCATTTGCACCACAATATCAAACATACACTAGTTTAATTTTGCTAAGAAGTGATATTGATTGCAACCAATATGCTATATGACAAGAAGTCATTCCTAGATTGTCCTAGACTCTTAGTAATTATCACGTTGAAATGTAGGTTTTATTAGAACTTAAATGGTGCTGGATTATAACATCTAGGGTGCCTTTGAAGGCACTGTTCATCGCACTGTGAATAGTGCTTTTTTTTTATTACTTTGATCAACAAACTTTTTTAATCACAATTTTATTCTTCCAAGTTACATTAGCATTGTTTTATATGTTGATATTCTTGCATTTTCTTGCATATACAAAGTGTCAATAAATTAAAGATTAATCTTGTGAAATTAAATTTTATTTGTAGTTTGAAAAAGGAACTAGAAGAAGAACCAAATTTAACAATAAAAAAAAGAGACCTCGTTTAGATGATGAGAAAATACTTAAAGTTTCTCTCTAAAATTTCAATTCAACTATTGTTTGGTAATTGTTGTTTTAGTAGTTTATATTTTGATTTCAAACTTTATTTTTTTTCATGATTCAGTCTCTAGATGTTAGAGAGAAAGTCACCATAAAATATTGAAGAGAAGTGATTGAATATCAATATTAAGGCCACCGGAAAATGTTGATCTTAATGTAATTGAGTTTTTCTCATCAAGAAAAATTTCTTAGAAATGATGTTGCTCTTTAACTGTGCTAGGAAAAGTATATTGGGATCCTTAAAGTTTTTTAGGATTCATTTAATTTTTATTTTTAGAGAGATTAGAGGCTGTTATGGTGTTGAAAACGGGGTTGTTAAGTTTCTATGATTTTTTCTTTTTTATATGATTTCAAATGAAAACAAATTGAAAATTGAGGTTTTTTAGGTCCTAAAACTCGAACTCTGAAAATTTTTGGATCCCTTGCACATATCCTCCCTCTTATTTATTTATTTTTTCACTTTGCGTTAGTTTTTTTATTTAAATTTTAATTAATACACTCTCATATTTTCTAAATTGTTTATTTCATAATTTTTTAAATAGTAGTTATTTTTGAATTAGTTTTTAATTTTATAATACTTCAAAGAGATTATTGTAATTTATATTTAATTTTTTGCTTTTATATTTTGTATAAATAAATTATGTTTACATAATGTATTTATAAAAATGAAATCATTTGTTCTTGGCAATGAAAAATAACCTTTAAGATAAAATAAATAAAAACATATAAAATAAAATAAAAGAATGTTGAGGATAAATATTTCCATTTCATCTATCTTTTGTTTTTACTAGAAAGATTAGCTTTCTAATTTAGTATTTAATAGGTATTAATAATTATTTTTTAATTTATTGGTTTAAATATTTTTTAACTTATTTTATTAAGTGTAAACAATATTTTTTGTTTCTCAATTAAAAAAACGGTGATACTAAAAAACACATCGATAACATTAGTATCTTCTTTTCTCGTGTTAGAAATTAACTTGGAATCCTATAAATGGTGTTGGATCGTGGAGACAAATGCATTATCAAACCATGGTTGCCCATGAAGGCTTGACCATTTCAAACAGTCTGCCCTAGGCAATAGGCACTGTGAGGTAATTAGCATGTGGTTGGGGGCATCTAGTACAATCATTAGCGTGATCTTTGTGAATTAAGATTCATGAAATTGTTGAAGAAATGTAAACAAACACACCCTTAACTAGTAGCAGTGATCAAGTGGTGTTAATGGAATGATTATATCAAAGCTCAAGTTAACATCATAAGCGGCTGGGCCACTGATTCATATTCGAACACTATTGTACATATTATGATTCACTGATTGTGATAGGAAATAGACCATTTATACTCTTATTCTAAGATGACAGAAATGAATTTTTGCTCCTTTCACAACTGCTGCATAATTATTTTTTTGAAAAGCTCATCCTTCATACTCTAAATTTCTTGTTTTTGTCTATGCTCGTTTTGTTTCTAGGTATGGCCACCCAAAGATTTCGGACCACTTGGGAATAAAGAGCAAAACAGCTGAATGATTAGTACTTTAAAGTGCATTTTTTATCAAGGTTTTATATCATCATTTTGCACTTCAAGTATCAATAACTCTTTAACTAAAACATGTTTTATAATAATATAAGATACCTTTAATTTATGGTAAATATTCATTTAAATATAGGCTTATCACATAAATGAAAAGATTGATTGATGAATTTAAGAACTAGAATTGAAAGGACAAAGAGATGACCAAACATAGAAAAGAGATGCCAGTGCAGTCCAAACCGGAACACTATTAGGTAATTAAGTCATATCTGAAGCTATAGATCTCAGATTTAGGTCTACTTTATATAGATAGAAAGGTAAGACATAGGCCTACAACTTTAGGAGCCCAAGATTTAAAAAGACCATGTTCAAGTCCAAATTGTAGCAACAACAAAGAAGTTAAAATCTGTCTTCTAGCCCGAGCACTGTTCGGTATTTTGGCCATATCTGGA